GTACTTATCATGTGTTCGAGTGTGATAATCTGCTTTCTCGCATATAGCAGTCAATGACGCGCGATATCCACCAGTTATTTGCTGAGCGGGAGATGTGTTTTATAAATTTTACTTTATTACGTGATCGCAGTAGCATCTGCACGCTGTAAGTGATATTGTCTATATGGCCAAAAAGAGATTTTCTAAGCATTTTTCACTTCAACGCATTCTTCATCACAGCCAGCGCTCGCTTTTTAATTTCCGTAATTGACCGCATTTCTTATCTGTACGTCGTCGCCTTAGTATCGCGAAGGTGAAGGCCATCACTTTGAAGATGTTGACAGTGCTATAAAATTTGCGCCAACCGACAGCATCTTTGCAGTAGCCAGTCAGAGAATGCAGTGCATATATTCCTAGCCAGGATAGATCTAATGCCAGTTCCTCCCACTGCAACACCATCTATCTGCAGATGGGATACAAGCATACTTAAATTTACATCACCTTCGTTTTCGTTGCGTTTATCTTCGGAGACCCGTCTCCTTATTTTGTGTGTAAGGTGTTTGTAGCATCTTATTCGTCTTCCGGGCACTGCTTGCCACTGAAGTTTGGAACGCTTTTTCAATCCAGCCAGGGAAATACTATTTTGGCATAGGACTTGGGAGCAACTGCTAAACCATGACTCGGCCGTCATTGTGTAACGCTCTTGCTTGACATTCTGCCAGCGAGTGCTGTGTAGCGATATCCAGGCCTTGGCGACTGGACGACGTGATTAGGGGCTGGGACGTGGTTAAGGGTAGTGGTTAGTGGGTTTAGTTGTTTTTTTTATTTGTGCCCAGATGCTGCGCGTGGCGGCAAGGTTTCAGAACTGTATAGAGAAGAAGAATATGGGTATTAGTCAGAAGCTCGAGGCAAAAAATGGTGATAATGGTTGGAGTGGTAGGTGCCCTGATGCGGCTCTGGAGGCAGGAATTGGGGATATGATAGAGGAAGGGACAGGGGTACTAGTCAGGATTCGAGGCAAGAAGTGGAGACAGCAGTAAAGAGAAAAAAGTCAACACAGCATTACAAAGGAAAGTAAATTAAAATAACTGGCCAACACACGGACTACCCGTGCGAAGATGCGTTTTTTGCATAGTCCCCCAGTTTTTGTTGCTACCGGCACTCGCTTTTTTGGCAGATGCTTCTAGCTAAACAAATTGAGGCTGGCCGCCAGAACTGTCAGAAAACATCCCGTTAAAATTTCAGCTTTCTAGCTTCGCTAGCCCAGTTCTAGCCTCGAGCTCTTGACTTGTGTCCTCGTTCTCTTTCCTCTACCCTGTCCCCAAATCTTGCACGCAAAACAACATCTGAGAGCAACATCCTCTCCATCCTCACTACGAGAGCACAGTGCAAGCAGGCAGTATTTTACCCTTATCCCGACTATCCACGGCAAAAACCAGCAGCACACTCCTTCCTCTCCATTCATTACGCCTTCCCTCTCTTCCTTACGTGACCTAGCCAACCATCAAAGAATCCATGTCACGTAACCATCCGATCCACCCATGCAACCTCTCCCTTTGCCTCGATTCCCCATGTCTGAAATCCGTATACGCTATCCCCCCTCCCCCTTCCCCCTCCCCCGCGTCACCCCATCCATCTGCGGTATCTAACGTCCTTTGCCACCGCGGGGTAAGAACATCCGCCATTGGAAAAAAAATTTTTCACGACTCGTGTATTGCACCGGCCAGTCCGATCCGAGGTTTAGTAATAGCGAGTTTGGGCGCTGTAGAACCGCATTGCTTCATTTCTCTTCTGATCGGTATAGGGATTGGAGTAGAAAAAAGCGGTTTGTTGGTTAAACAGCTTTTATTCGCATTTTAAATTTTCCACTTAGTTCCCATTAATTTTTTCACATACGGGATCTCGTAACACAACATTCTCTCCGATGCCATGGATTACTTTTCCTAACAGCGAATAGTAGAAAAAGAGAAGGTTATATTCTCTTGCGCATTTCAGCTTCTTTTCTTTCAACAGTAGGCATGTATATTTTTATCCGCAACACACGGTGTTTATTTTCCTGTGCTGAAGTATGGTGGCACTACAGAAGCATGCTTAAGAATGCGGCAAGCATCCATCAAAACGTAGTCGGTTTTGTTCTGCAGTTTTGCGTTTGATTCGCTGCAAGTCCATCTCCGTTCCGCATTTC